TTAAACTACAACCTGCCAGTGTTTATACATTCGATGGAATACCCACACGTAGATGTGATGTTTTACAAATAGGTTAAAGGAAAACATTGCACATTTGTTTTATTATAAACATGGAAACATTGGCCATATTAAAAAAAGCACATGGCTGTATCGTTTCTGTTTGCAGTTATCCCTACTTAAAACTAGGGTCTTCATTTGTGGGTCTGTCCTATTGGAATTTAAGGAGTATAGTCAAGGCCAAAGAATGCTGGCAACAGAGACAAAATACCAATTAGCAAATTCTTCATTTAGCACAAGGGGCTACTCTCCTGGGAAAATCATCTGCAGTTTCTGTCTCTCTAGCACATTTTTATCAAGAAGTGTCCTTTGAAGTTTGAAGATGAAAATATGAAGGCACTCTTAATTTAATTTTTAGAGAAGGTATATAGGTACAAAACCAGCAAGCTAAAAAGTATTACAAACTATTCAATACTTGAGGCATGTGAGGTATTAGCTCATCAATAGTTTTTAATATTTTGTGTGTGTGTGTTTGTGTGTGACTCTTGAGTCAGTGTATTGCCACTTACAATGGCTTCGACAAATCTCTGTTTTCTTCTATGTTTTTTAGAAGTGGTTTGCCATTGCCTTTGTCTTCCTAGGACTGAAAGAAAATGCCCTGTCTCCAAGGTCATTTGCTGGCTTTGTGCCTAAGGTGGGATTAGAACTCACCATCTCCCAGTTTCTAGCCTGTACTTTAGCCACCACTCTACACCATACTGGAGTAATATCAAGCAGTACAATGTCAAAATTCTCCTATGATTTTGGAAGTCATTTTTACTTTTGTTGCAGTCTTAAATGAAGAGTAAGGAACTTGTAGCCCTCCAGATGCTGCTGAACTTCATTCAACTCTTAGGAGATCCAGCCAAATGGCCACTTGGGAGGAACATTGTGAACTTGGCAACGTCTGGAGCACCGAACTCCCCACGTCTCTCCTGAAGACAGGGTCCCCTTTATGAACTGGCTCATGATTGATATACTTTTTTTTGCCAGAATATATTGGCCTATATTACCTGAGATATGGGAGTTGAAGTCAAAGAAGTATGAGGAGGATTGTACTGGATGTATAGTCCTTTAATTACCTACATGTAAACTCTACTGTATGCATAAAGCACAGAACTGCTTCAATCCTACTGAGATACAAAATCCTCCCTAGAGATTGTGATATAAAATTAATACCTATAACAGCTGGCAAATGCAGACCTTGAGATTCCCTGGTGAGGCATAGCACCTGGGCATAGCAAAATACACCCAGATAATCATAAGAGATTATCTGCTACTAGATACCTGCCATCCTCCTACGCTAAAATGACACAAATGTAGGAAATTTTGCACAAAAATAAAACCCAGACACTTGTTTCCATGTGGAGGTGCTAAGTACAGTAGTTCTCAATCTCAATGCCAAAGAAATATAATGCTCCATTCAAAGTAAGCGTATATAGTTTTGATTAATAAAATTAAACTATTAAAGATGGAAACAAATTCTAGTTTGCTTAGAATTGTTAATTTACTCTTTGGCCAGTAGGTGGCAGTCAACCCTAAGTTTTCAAAATGCTTTTTCCCACATTTAGTATACAGTTGCCCATGTACTGGATTTTATTTTTTTTTAAAGCGCTGCTTTTAACTATTATTTGAACCTTCTGTTCCTAATGAACCAGCCCAATTCCTTTTGAGCAACATGGGAGAATCTTAATTTTATTACTTTATTATCAGCAATCGATTGCACTTTATGATAATTCTTCCAGTTTCATTTGTATTCTTTCTCTACATGAAAGAAAACACAAACACAACAGCCATCCTAAGAATGACATTTGTGAACATTTCAGGATCTGACCAAAAATGTTATTTTCCAGGATCTGAACCTCTTGTCTAATTCTACATTGTGCACTAAAAATATCGAAAACAATTTTTGGCAAAGTAGTTCTATAAACCTATAAACCATAACCTTTAGGCTAATTATTCCCTTGACAAGTCAAAACAGCCTCCCTCTTGCCATCTGACTTGTCTTTTGCTGATTCTGCGGATTTTATTGCAGCAGGTTTTGTCCTGCTTCAACAGCTGAAATCACAAAAGAGATAAAAGGAAACAAACACAAAAAGTCTTGAAAAGCACAGAAAGAGGAAGTTAACTTCCCACTTGATTCTCCTTCAGTACTGCAGGTTTTTTTTTTAAAAATGTGTGTGTGTGACAAAAAATAATAATTCATGATTTCAAACCTCTTTAGGTTTACTTTGTTCCAAGTTCTAGAGGAGGAGGAAAAGGACAAGGGGCATCCTTGGTTATCAACTCCCAATATATTAATAGATGTATGTCATTTCTCAGCAACAATAATGGATTATTTACTTCCCCATCTCTTTGTTCAATTTTTATGGCCTCCCATCTTAATCAATGACTTTAGGTAGCTTTTAATTTGCATTCTTGATGTAGAAATACCAAGCTCAACCCTGCTTAGCTTTAGACAGTAAGACTTGCCACCTCTTGATGTTAAGAGCACTAGAATTACCCCTTCATTAATATCCTAATTTAGAGCAGATATGGAGAAATGCTGGCTTCCAGACTTTGCAGATTTAAATGGAAACAGCCCTCATCATTGGCATGATGGCTAAGAGTCCTGGGAAACAGTTCAGAAGTTTCTGAAGTTCAGTAGGCATTGTGAGGTTGGCAAGTTCTCCTTCTCTGTGATCTCTACCGCTCCATATTCCCCCTTATCTAATTTCTGTATTCTACCACATTAAGCAAACTGGCAGTCCAGGTCCTCCTGACAGACTACCAACAAGGTCTGTCCCTGTCTGTAAGCTGCTCACCTAGCTCAGGTTTTTCTACCTCAGCAACCACCAGGCATTCAAAGCAACACAAAACTGCAAACTTTCTGCACTTCAAACTAGAGTTTAAAACATATGTGTGAAGAATGGCAGGATTTCAGAACCTTAAAAAGCTTATTTAAGCAAAGCAAAGCAAAACAAAAACAAAAGGCCTGGTTCACAGCAGCTTTGTCCATGAAGCAGCAGTTAGTGTGAGTGAAGAATTCAGAAATATAATTGGTCTGCAAAAAAATGCTTTAAACAGGAGCAATTCTAAGTAGACCATAGACCACCTGTAGAGCATTTAGAAATTTCTCTCTCATCCCATCCCTCCCCATAATACTCTAACCTTGGCCCTACATGCCTTTAGTCTGATTAACAAAGCTAGGAAAAAGCTGGTTAAAAGGCTGTTCTTTTCCTCTGGATTCACTAACTGTTACAAGTCTCCCTTTAAAAAAAAAAAGTGCCTTACATTCTTTTAATTGAAGAACTTTTGAAGCTCCATGGTGGTAAATTGGTCTATAAGAGAAATTGGGCCATAGAAAGAATTTTCTAAAGAAAGAAACTCCCAAACCCGCTATACAAGACATTTACAGACAAGAGATCAAAGTTTTGTGTGTGTGTGTGTGTGTGTGGGGGGGGTTGATTGTCTCCAAAGGCACAAGATTCCTATAGATTAACCTTATTCATTTAGTTCTGTTTAAAAGAGATGCTCTGAGTTATTGGGGTAGACAGGTAAAAAGTTCAACTGTTGTGAAGCAGTCTGCTAATTCTACAGCTTCCCACTTCAATCAATTAATGCTCGCCTTGATCAGGGGACCTTCTTCCCAGACCATTTGATGTCAATGGAAAATCATGCGACCCCCCTAAACACATTTGCAGAATCCATGAATAAAAGCCTCCACAGTTCTCAGCTTATTCTTCCATCATAAAACAACTTTTAACTCCCAGCTTTAGCCTGCTGAACAGCAAGTGCAAACAAGCAATGGCAACCCATGAAAAGGAGAACACAATTCTCCCACATTGCAGGTGTCACAATAAACTTGTGGGACAGAAATGCTTTTGCTCAGATTACTGCACTGACAAAGCAAAAGTTCCTGAATAAGACCCAAGCCTTCACCCCATATAAGCTTCATTCCCAGTCAAGATGCTAATTGGGAATTCTAGCATCTCTCCCAATATATGGAGAACCCAGCCTAGGAAATACTTGCAGGTCATTTCATCCGGATTAGAGGCAGATCATCATGGGAGGAAATATGGTTGCTAGGAGTGACATTGACTTGATGGTAAATAATCAGCCCACCACTTAGAATTAACACCTTGAGAGATGTAGTCCTGTCCCCTTTGCAATATGATGGGATCAAAAGCCATTGCATTATAACTTCTTCTGGACTCCAGTTACCAAAAAAGGAGAATATTGACAGTTCAGTGTTGAAATCAACCCTGATGATGTAACCTAGTTTGGGTAATGGAACATCTGCAAAGAAACAACTAAGCTCAGAGACCACCAAAGATCCCTCTGTCCAGTTAATTTCAAAGGGGTCAAGAATTCTTGACTATGTATTCTGAGACTTCAGCAATTACCATTTCCCAACCAACATTGCCAATAGCCAAGAATGTTGATGGCTGGACTCTGATGATCAAATTCTGAAAACTCCTCTGTGGATTCTACTGAAATATGTCAGTGCATTTATTTGAGCAGAGCTCCGAGGGAACATTTGAGCCTCAGTATTTCTCAAGTCAAGAATTAAGAACAACTGGGACAGCCAACAAGGGGGCATCACCCCTCCCAAGCAAATCATTTGACATGATTTTATTGACAAAATATAATACTCAAACTTTTGCTCTTAGGCAAGAGCAGTGGTGGTAAGCCTCTAAACTTTTTTTCTTTAAACAAAAAAAATTTACAGTCTGTATAGCATTTGGAATATATACATATTTTACACATTTTGTACAAGGTACCAAATAATTATATAAATACATCCTTTAACATAATAAACCCGTATTTACTGGGGGGGGGAGAGGGTGTACAATTAAGACATGGTTTGAGCACATGATTTTAAGGCATCTGCCAGTTTTTGTGGTTGTTGGCACTAAAAAAAAAAGGGGGGGGGTTTCTTGAGGGACTCCTCCACCCCTGCAGGTTAATTAGATATCCCTTCACATTGTATCAAGAGTTTGAGGGATGGAGAAAGAGCAGAGAAGTCCTACTGGGCAAAAAGGGCTTGTGCTGGCTGAAGGCAAAGTAAGGCAATCCTTGTCTTCAGAAAATTCCTATACCAACAACACAGAAACATGCAGCTTCAGCATGGGAAGAATTGACTAACAAGGAATGGAGGAAGAGGACAATAGGCTGGCCCTTGGGCCTCTGGAACTGTCCTGCTCCTATAGGGAAGTTTCTTCTTAAGAAGAGATGGGCGGCATTCCTCCGTTCCAATTCCAGATTTTACACCTGGGACAAAGGCATTTGTTTGGGGTAGGAAACCGAGCTGGCAGTGCCAGACCTCCAAGTCAAACCAGTGCTGACATCACTGTACATAGACCCCCCTCCACCCCCCAGTCCTCCCACAGCGGCAGCAGAACCTATGCCGCCACCTCCCGCCCTGGCTCCAATACTCCCTGCAACAGCCACTGCTGTCCCTTTGCTGGCCCAGCAGCAGCGGGTGCAGAGAGCCTTCCAGGACTCCAGCGTCTTTCCAGACCAGACCCATACTCCCGAGGTGATTCCCACCACCAGGCACATAAAGTACTTGAGCATAAAGACCGCATAGTCTGGTCGGCGGGCCTGGTCAGGCTGTTGGTCCCGCAGGCAGGGGCAGTTGTGGGTGGCTTCCCAGTGGGGGCGATTGTGCTGCTCGTAGAAAAGGCAAGCCACCACGCTGGCAGCAGGCACCGTATAAAGCACGGTGAAGAGGCCCAGGCGGATCATGAGCTTCTCCAGCTTGTGCGTCTTGGTGGGGCCCCCTTGCTGCTTGATGACACTCCGGATCCGGAAGAGCGAGACAAACCCAGCCAGCAGGAACATGGAGCCAATGGCCAGGTAGATAAGCAGAGGGGCCAGCACAAAACCTCGCAGGTTCTCCAGGCTTTGGTTGCCCACGTAGCAGATTCCAGCCACAGGATCTCCATCCACAGAACTGAGCGCCAGGACGGCAATAGACTTGATGCTGGGCAGTAACCAAGCCGCAAGGTGGAAGTACTGAGCATAGCTCGCGATGGCCTCGTTGCCCCACTTCATGCCCGCCGCCAGGAACCAGGTGAGGGACAGGATAACCCACCAGATGGAGCTGGCCATGCCAAAGAAGTAGACCAAAAGGAAGACTATGGTGCACAGAGCAGGACCCGTGCTCTCGTACCGCACGTGCTCAGCCACCGCCAAGTCAGGCTGTAGCTCCGCAGCTCCGCCGGCTGCCCCGCGACCGCCCACCGCGGCAGCGGCCGCCCCAGCAGCGCCTCCAGCGGGCCCCGCGGGTCCTGCTCCCGCTCCAGCCGCCGCCGCCGCAGCCGCTGCCGCTCCGCCGCTGCAAGCCACTTTTTCGTGGCCAGCGACCAGGCGCACCAAATAGCCCAGCGAGACGAAGAGATAGCAGGCGGCCAGGAAGATGATGGGCCGCTCCGGGTACTTGAAACGCTCCATGTCGATGAGGAAAGTGGAGACGGTGGCGAAGGTGGAGATGAAGCACAGGATGGACCATAGGCCGATCCAAAAGGCGGTGAACGCGCGCTCGTCCGGGCTGAAGTAGGGGTTGTGGCACGGCAGGGCGCAGTTGGCGATCTGACCCGTCTTGACCCGGTTGTAAAGCGGGTGGCGCTCGCTGGACACCGACACCATCGGCGCCCGGCACTGGCAGCCCGGCTCGCAGGGGGTTGGAGGGCGGCTCTTGCGGAGTGGGGGGTCCGCGGCGGACGGGGGCGGCACCACAGCCCCGGAGCCCCTGCCCGTCCCGCCTCCCGCCGGCTTTCGGTGCGGCGGCTTGGGTTGCGGCTGTGGCGCGGCGGTCGCGAGATCGGTGTGGTTGTAGTCCATACAGAGCATGTCCGGGTTGCCTTGCTCGGGCAGCCGGTCGCAGCGCATGCGGTCCGGCCAGGCGAAGCCGTACTGGCGCATGAGGGGCGCGCAGCCGGCCTTGGCCCGCTCGCACACGCTGCGGCAGGGCGGCAGCGGCTTCTTGTAGTTCTCCAGACAGATGGGCGTGTACATGCTGCACAGGAAAAAGCGCAGGTCCGCCGAACACTGGATCTCCACCAGGGGCCAGAACTGGTGGACCTCCAGCCCCGCCTCGTCCTGCGTATCGTGGTTGAACTGATTGGGCATGTAAGTGTAGTTGTAGCCGATGCCTTTGCACAGCGGCACCGTGATCTCCTGGCAGGAGAGCTCCTTGGCAGATGAAGAGCCCGCCGCGGCTGCCGCTGCCGCTGCCGCCGCCGCCGCCGCGGCTGCGGCGCTAGGTTGCCTTTGCAGGGGCGACCAGGCAGACAGGAAGAGCGGCAGAAAAGCCACGGTCAACAGGTAAGAGCGAGGCTCCATGCTCGGCGAAGTAAGTCCGCCCTCCGACCCGGGAGGTGACTGATCGAAGTGGCGTCGGCTCCTCGGCTGCTATTGCGCTGGGTGGCTACGCTCCCGGCTTCCTGAAGCTCATCTCTCCTCGCCCGCCGAGCTAGGATGCGAGACGCGGCGCTTGCTGCTGCTGCTGCTGCTGCGAGGACGGCAGCGGCTGCTTCGGCTCTGCCTGGGTCTTCTCAACTTTCCTTCAGCCGCGCCGGGTCAAGGTGGCCGAGAGCCCCGAAGATGCAGCCCCCCCCAGGGGGTCCCTCTGGCAGACCGGTTCGGCGAAAGCGCCCCGAGGAAGCTCGGCTGCCCTTCGAGGCGGTTGCGGAAGAACCGGCTTGTGGCGCGCCGGAGAAGCGGTGCACCTGAAAAGTAAACGACGACGAGGACGGCAGCAGCAGCGGCGGCAACGGCGCCGCCGTTTCCCCCCCGCTCGACCAACTTCTGATTCTCTTCAGCTCCGGCAGCGGTGGACGCGCTCTCAGGCTATTTAAAGCAGAGGAAGCCAGGCCCCGCCCCGCCTGTCCCAGCTACCTATCACGAGGGCTCCGGGCGGAGATCTTGGACCCCGACTAAGCCCTTTCGCTTAAGGTGGATCGGTCTGGGTCCCAGGATTGGCCACAAGCCGATCGCTTCTGGCCCTTTAAGATTCACGGCGTGGGCTGCGTGTGAGTACGCGTTTTCTTTACTCCCCAGGTGTAAATGGCTCACTTGACGCTTGGGCAGGTAAGTTCTTAAATAAACGAATAAAGGCGTATGGCACCTGGGCTCCCGAGAGTTATTTTAATCAGTTCACTCTCCCTTTTGTGTCCTGAGTGTGAGGACCTTTTGTAAAGTTTTAACTTCTAGGCATATCACTAAACCAAGCATCCCCTCCCGCTTCTCTTCTTTCCTCCCTTCCGTGTTTTATTCCTGGATATTTTGGATTTCTGATAGGCTGGATCAAAACACCCGAGAAAGCAGTTTTTTTTTAATTTATTAAATGGATTTTTAAGGCTGCCTGACTCCAAGAAAACTCAGTGTCTGACAATATTAATGTAAAAATGATATTAAGATATAAATCACCCCCCCCCCAAAATCCCCAAACAATTATGATTGGATGTAAGATATAAGGCATATTGTTTTAATGATAATATTTCCTTTTTTCCTTTCAAGTTGCTCAGGGTTACCTTTTCTGAAAACTCTTTTGCACAGTCTCTCTTAACAGGGAGTTTCCTCTGGATTCCAGTACAGCACCCTGATTTTGGAAATTCCATACATCTGGAAGGCAACAGGTTGAAGAAAAAAACAACAACAACCCAACATGATTTTAGCGCAAATGGGGATTCCCCCATTTCCAGATCTGGAATTTAGAATAACTCAGAAAAATCTTGAGTTATTATTTAGTAAATTATTTAATCATAAATAATTTCACTCAGTTGCTCAGAGGCTGAGGGCTGCTTCCGAAACCTGTGCAACAATCTGGATATGATAACTACTTTACATAAGGTAAATCTCATTTCTTGTGATAGACAGTTAGCTTCCACAAAAGATCATGGGTATTTGGTGCAGAGGTCTTCACATCTGAAATATACTCATTGAAATCAGTGGGGTTTGAGATAGTTATGACATCTTGTTGGCCAGTGTGTTTACATCCACCATGGTGTCTGGTAGAAGTCTCTATCAAAATAAACAGGACTAATTGTCATAGGATAATGCAATCAATCTTATTTCCCCTCACGATAAGCTCATTAAGAAGAAGGCAATCCCATTTATTTGAATGACACTTATCTCCACATGGTTTAAGTCTGCAATTTACACAGCAGCCTTCCTCAAATCCATGAACTACGAGATTTAAGTCCCATCACCATAGTGGCCTTGCTGGTGAGGATTATAGAAGCTGAGATCGTGCGTGTGCCTCCAGTTCTAATTCTCCTTCTACTGCACTCCTGAGAAGGCCTGTATAAATCACATTATAAATGCACAAAGTAGGCTGCATTTTGTGGAACTGCCAACTCTCCATCTATCTGCTGGGCTGGGTTTGAGCACGCAAAGATGGTTATATGGTTCCTATTGCTTCTCATACAGATTTCTGGGTTGAGAAAAGGGCTTATCGAAACAAGAAATTAAAGTTCTGCTTTGCTTCCTCTGACTCCATGTTCTTGCTTCCAGTCTGGCTCGCTAGTGAACTTTGCATCTGACAGCTGCCTCATCCAGTCAGGATGTAACTGGATCCTTCAGTCTGCTTTGGCTCTGACTTCACGGCAAGGATCTATGGTGTTCCTTTCTTCAGCTGTTGCTGCCAAAGGTTTTACTCCTAATCTCAGAGAGTGGGGGGGGGGGGAGAACAGGGGCACTTCAGTAACTTTCTCCAACTTTCTGCTCTCCCAATGCAGGGGTCTCCAACCTTGACCACTCTAAAACTAGTGGACTTCAAGTATGAAGTCCACAAGTCTTTAAAAGTTGCCAACGTTGGAGTTGCCAAGGCTGAATTCTGGGAGTTAAAGTCCACAAGTCTTACCCCCTCTCCATGCATTAAACTCCATCCCAATCAAAAAGGGTTAACATTCTTCCCAATGGAAAGTCATTAAGTTGGGAACTTCATTAAAGCAAAAACACTTAACAATTCTTCCTGTTTGGTACTTGGAAATGTGTAAAGCTGCTCAAAATATGACTGGATTTGACCCACTAAACTCACTTCTTTTTTGCTACTGTCACCTAGTGAAATTCTAAAATAAACAAAGATTGAACAGATTATTAGCTGGAAGAAGGGTAATGAAAATTTAAATATGTGCGTTATGTTTATCAGTTGCTAATTACATTTGATTTAACTGTAGGATGTGTGAGCATGTTTTGAGAAGAAGAGATGAGCAAGGATGAAAGCAGGCTATATGTTAAAAAATAAGGGTCAATGGGGTGGGGAGCTATAGCCATATTTTTTTAAAAAAACTTGTGCAGTCCTATATCACTTTATAAAACCACTGAAGTCATTGAGACTTAAGAGCCATAAGATTGCATTATTAATACATCCATTTTCCTGCAATTTTGGTTAAAGTAGCTAACCAAAGTTAAGTGCATGATAACTAATGGGCTTACACAGAGCTTATAACAAGTCTACTTACAATGTTTGCTTAAAGAAATATGCAGTTCTAAATGTAATGGCTCTTCAAAATGATAAAGTATTCATGCACTGATGAAAAATAATGGCTGTCCACTGGTCCTATCCAATGCATACACTGGATTTATTTATGTAGCACATTGTATCCCAATTTACTCATTGGAATAGTTGTGTCTATGCAACACAATCACCATGTTGCAGAAAAGCAACCCACATTTTTATTCACAATGTTGTACAAAATCAGCTATTCATGAGATGGATGGAAACTAATTTCAGCAGGATTTGAATTACAATAGAAGAAATGGCAGTTTGATCTAGTGGCTAAGGAACTAAGGCTAGAAGCCAGGAGATTTTGAGTTCTAATCTCCCTTAAGCATGAAAGCTATCTGGGTAACTTTGGGCCAATCACCAGAAAACTATGAATTCTAGTTTCACCTTAGCTTTGATAGCCAGCTAGATGACTTTGGGCAAATCACCAGGAAACTATGAAATCTAGTCCCACCTTAGCCATGATAACCAGGTGACTTTGTGCCAATCACTAGGAAGCCTTAGCCATGGTAGCTGGCTGGGTGACTTTGGGCCAATCACCAAGAAACTATGAATTCTAGTTTCACCTTAGCCATAATAGCCAGTTAGGTGACTTTGAGCCAATCACTTTCTTTCAGCCCAACTTTCCTCACAAGGTTGTTGTTGTGGGGAAAATAGGAGGAGAAAGGAGTATTAGGTATGGTGGCCACCTTGAATTATTTATAAAAATAATAAAAGTGGAATAAGTAAATAAACGGGGGATTGTATGGTAAGGGAGGATTGGCTTGTGGATCAGGAGCTTCATTACTTTAATGAAAGTTAAAGCTTTAAGGAATTAAACTTTTATTTTTTTCTTTGTAAGAATTCAGTGTTCCCTTCTTAAATTGCTGGAACTCCAGAGCCTTTCCCACTGTTACTGTAGATCACCTGGAGGTAAAACTGTTACTGTAGATCACCTGGAGGTAAAACTGTTACTGTAGATCACCTGGAGGTAAAACTGTTACTGTAGATCACCTGGAGGTAAAACTGTTACTGTATATCACCTGGAGGTAAAACCATCCATCTTCTGCTTGGACAGCATAAACTACTAGGTAAGCAAGGCACCCTGGATACAATCTGAGTAGTTAATATTGTCTTTTTCACAACTGCATAGGAGGAAGCAAATCAACAGCTAACACGTCTGCATTCTGATCTGTGCCAGACTTCAGCCTGTTAGGCATTTTTTTAAGATGCTAAACTCAGTAATGAGCAGCATGGTTGCCATTTCCAATCAACACAGGAAGAAAACTGATCACACCAACTTTTGAGCCTTAATGTGGATTAGAGAGGTTAGCCAGTCTGGCAGATGGGTGTGTGTTTAGGCGTATGTGTGTGTGTTTGTGTGATTTTGAATTAAAGGTGACCTGAAATCTAAGAGGCATGTTCTGTTCGTATAATTCACGTGTATATTGAACTTTGCAGGGCTAAAAAACTATTGCATATGCTATCGGAAAAAGCAAGCAACAGATTCCCCCACAGAACAGGGATGGAACCTTTCTTAATATAATTAAGGAAAAGTAGGAAATATAGTTCAGGACTATTAAGAGTATAGAAAGAATCTACCTTTGCTATCTTAGACAAATTCAAGTTTCCGGGAATGAACAAAGTATATCAAAGACTTTTGAAGAAGCTGGCTGAAGCGGTCACAGAACCTTTTGGCTGTAAACTTTGAGAAATGAGTGTATTATCTTTGAGAAATGGTACACTGCCCATAGTCTGGAGAAAAGTGAACACAGTCCCATATTTAAAAAAATGGAAGAAACTACAAACAAGGTTAATTTCATTTCTATATTGAGCAAATAAAAAAAAATGTGAA